ATTAGTAGTATTAGTAGTAGTAGTAGTAGTAGTAGTAGTAGTAGTAGTAGTAGTAGTAGTAGTAGTAGTAGTAGTAGTAGTAGTAGTAGTAGTAGTAGTAGTCCGGTCAAAATGGACGCTAGGCACGGCCACTGTTATGAGCAGTGGCAAATTTGTTGCTTCTGCTAGACGGTGGCCGTTGCAATTTTTCTCCATTTGTAGACTGAAAGGATATAGTTTCGCCGTCCAGCTTTTAAGTTGAGTGCATGGCGTGACACTGTGAGCTGCCGATTTCATTTGAAACAATTTTTCGGCTGTCACCAACGTGGTGGTGTGAATTGTAGATTCAGAAGATAGCGCGATGCCTGCTGTCGCAATATTTATGTTGCGGTTATGTGATTAAAATTGATCGCGTGTGCAACTGCTGATTTGTTGGTGACTTCTGCTGCCATGATAAGCTGCATTTCTAATGTCGGACTGTTTGTGTTAGCACTTCAGATGGCTACCGTATGCGTTTAATGCGTGTGTATGCTAGTTAGTGCATATGCTGAGACAGCTGTCTGTCAGTCTGTCCACAAGGGACTGTGATAAACATTATGTGTGTTTTTCGTTGGCACAGGAACGGAGTAACTATGGGGTGACCCGTTTGCTATGACGCTGAAACTAAGATTACAAGTAGTAGTAGTAGTAGTAGTAGTAGTAGTAGTAGTAGTAGTAGTAGTAGTAGTAGTAGTAGTAGTAGTAGTAGTAGTAGTAGTAGTAGTAGTAGTTTGGTGTTAAAAGTTAGTTGCATATTCTTTACAGGACGTTGCAGAACCAACCCCAACATTTATTGGATGTTGCGGTTTTTTAAGGCAAATTTTACTTTGAGAACTTTGCCATTGTCTCTGAACGTTCAGCTTTCGGTACTACTGTCGAAACCAGTGCAAGACAAACCGTCCGCAGCTAGGATCGAATCCGGCACCTCGCCAGTTCGAAGCGTGTTTGCAACTCCTAAGAGTAGTAGTAGTAGAAGTAGTTATTACTAGCTTTATAAACTAGAAGAAAATTTAAAAATTAAAAATAAAAATAAAATAGAGCTTTATACTGAATGATACTTGCTGGTGGTGATTTTCCTGCAGAACTAACATTTTCCCCTGCCCTGTCACCGCTGACAACAAACAACATTGATACGTGTTGTGTCTAGCGGTAGACAAAAACGCCGACAATCGTCGTTGATTTACGTTACTTGCATACAGTGAGACGACATTAGATGCATTCATGATATCGTTACAATGCATACAAAGGACAGGAAATAAACAACACTACTTTTTTTAAAGTCTGATAGTAAGTGAGGCATTGTGGAAAATCTACCATTCGTTTTCGTCGAAACATGTGTGAGTGTAACTTAGGATACTAACTATCACTATTATATATTATATAGTATAGAGTGACTTAAAAGAAAGTCATTTGTCTTCAGTAACTTTATTATTAACTTTCAAGGCAAGTGCAAACAACAGTTGTTTCTAAATCCTTTCAACTAAGGCCGCCCACCCCACCTTCCCCCTTTTACTTTTACCCCCATCATAACACAACTGTACGTCGTACCGCAACTTTGTATAGGCATCACATTGCTTACAGCTATTTTGCAATACTAGACATTATATGGTAAGTATCGGCACCTTTAAAAAACGCTGTACTTTCAACAGTCTATTCAAATTTTATTCTTCTTTCTTACCTGGAACTAGACAACTATTGGTTACTTTCAGTTTTACTTTAACTTAGTAGTATCAGTTCGAACGGCCTCTGTGGTTGCTGACTAGAACTTAATTGATGTAGTAAGTTTACTTGAGATATGCATTGGTTACATTCGATTGAATTACGTTTACATTATATAACATTTATTGTACAACTCTGCTGTTACATCTGTAAATGAAGGCTGCATTGTATCTTTTGTTTCACTCACTGTTTGGAGTTGCCATTGATTAGGTAATGAACAAATATTGCAGAGGCAATACTGGCGTTAGTTTTGTAGAGAATAGACAACTGGAAGGTCTGGATTATGCAGGTGATATTGTTCTGTTAAGTAAAAGTAACAAAGAAATGCAAAGTAAAACAAAGCTGCCAAAGAAGTAAATCCGTAGATTTGATTGTCATGCCTGGAAGTGAATTGATAGATGACAGAGAGCATATACCACTGACTTATGTGTATTGCACACCATTCCTCTGGTGTTCTTGCTCTGAAATCCTACACCAGGTTAGTTTGAGGACTGCATGGAAAAAATATGCAGCATGAATTGACCTTCAACCTAGGGTGGGGGGGGGGGGGGGGGTGTAATACTATGTACAGCCTTAGAAACAAATGAAGAAATGCTTGTCTTAAATAGTGAAATGGGTGTCGCTTGGTGCAACAAATCCTGGCATAAGATATCACAACGTCTTGTTTGAGAATGAAGGTGGAGGCAGTCACTGCTGCCTTCCACTGGCTTGAGAATCAGCTGTACCCACATGTCATCTTTGCAACTGACTCACAGAGCATGTTGAGAAAGGTGGAGACAGGCATGCTCCATGCAGAGTGGCAAGCATCCCTTCAAAGGTCCCTGGTAGTTAGCATCTTTTGGATATTTTCTCCAGATCATGCTGGTGTGTTAGGAAATAAGCAGTCTGATAGACTGGCTGGTTCTTCACCACTTGGTGAACTGATGAATGACAAGCTGGATGTTGTGAGGACCCTTGGGAGCGAGTAAATAGTGCCGAGGCTCAGACAGATCATTACGGTCTAGGAAAATGGCTCTGCAAGGAGTTAAGGGGAATCTGGCCGACGCTCGACACTCAGGGGAAAGGAAAGACAGATATACAGTCAGACAGTTTCTGGTACCAGTAGAATTTAAACTCTTCACATGCTGCTGAAGATGGGGGCAGAGTGCTTATGGGGGTGTCCCGAGTGCTGTGATGTCAATTCTTAATTCAACATTCAACAACGGTGGAAGCTTACCTAGTTGTTCCTGAGCTTCACATAATGTCAGAATCATTGAACCATATCTGTTATCCACATATAATGGAAATTAATCAAATAATATTTTATCATTGCAGATTGTGACATAATATACAACTGTACATAAAATGGCAAGTACAGTAATTGCATACATTATATGGTTATTCCTTGGCTGGGCCGGACTCCATCATCTATATCTGGGTAGAGTAAACCAGGCCATAGTTTGGTTTGCTACCTTTGGTGGATGTGGTGTTGGTTTGATCCGAGACTTTTGGAAAATTCCAGAATATGTCAGGTGGTGCAATGGTGACGTTTCACTTCAGAGGAAACATTTACAAAGGTAAACATTGTGTTTGTCTTACAATGGTAAACATTGTGTTTGTTTTCTTTCTGGCACACTTAATGTTGTTTTCAGTAAAAAGTTATTTTTTTTTAAATATACTGATATAAGTATAAAGTGTTACACTGTAACATACAAGGTCCGACAATTAAGTAATGAGACTCATTCCATAAAAATTAAAATTATCGACAGTTAAAGATATAACCTGTATCTGATTCAAAGCAAGCCCTTGTGCATTGATACAGCAAGTGGCAGGATCTAACAAACACTGGAACTACCTCTGTAGTTCTTCTGTTGTTATGGCCCCTTTTGATGTCATCAGTATTGTTAAAGAACCGTCCTTTTATTGTAACTTTAATTATGGTAATAGAAAATAATCACAGCGAGACAAATTTGGGGAATAGGGTGGAAGGCTGAGAACACACACTTGTTTTTTGGGCCAAAAATTCTTGTTTTGATGATGTCTCTTGGGTACTCAATCCGCTGATGTGTTTGGTCATCAGACAACAAATGTGGTACAAACTGGCAACCAACTTTTTTCTTGCCAAAATCTTGCACTAAAATGTTATGAATGGTCTCTCTATTAACACCAGATTCATCTGCCATCATCCTCACAGTAAACCAATGATATTCTTATATCCGTTCTCTGACTTTTGCAATGAGTTCATCATTACGAACAGAAATTTTTCGTCCAGGTTTAGCTGCATTTGTAATCATTTCCACACTACTTTTGAATCAGGAATACTAACTTAAACTGGTTGCATCAATTCAACTGTTTCAATGGTGCTTTTTTCTGAGTTTTAAAAAGAATTTAATGTTAGCTTTTTGCTCCGTGCTGATTACCTAACAATGCACCTCTGACTAGGTCAGCAAAATGGAGGCTTGTTTGTTGTCTGCTTATCAAGTGAAAGTTACCAGATCATAGATGAATGTTGCCTTTTTAGATTCAATGCTTTGCTTCATAGATGGCATTTTTATCTTGGCCATAATAAAATCAGTATTATTACTTAATTGTCGGACCTTGTATACTTAGAATAATGAGGTTAAAAGTTAGTTGCATATCCTTTACAGGATATTTCAGAACCAACCCCAGCATCTTTTGGCCTGTGTTATTTTTCTAGGTAAATTTACTTCAATTTGCCATTCCTTTCTTGACAGTCGGCTTCCACTGTTGAAACCAACGCAAGGCCGGCAGCTGGGATCGAACCTGGCATTACGAAGTGTGTTCACAACGCCTAAACCACAGACCCTTGGTTGGCATATCTTTTTCTTCTTCATTCCTCTGACCGACGTTATTGTGTTGTGCCTGTTTACAGCATAGCTGTGATATTTGCACTAACTTCATCAGGCATTTGTTTCCCCGGTTAGCCTTCCCGGTATTGACCTGTAATTTTCAGAAAGTTTGACACATTTTTTTCTGTAGATTTGATTGTCATGTATGGAAGTGAATTGGTAGATGACAGAGAGCATATAACATTGACTTCAGTATTCTGCACACCATACCTCTGGTATTTTGGCTCTGAAATCCTATGCCAAGTTAGTTCACACCCAGCATGGAAAAATCTAGTCATAGTGCAGTCCAAGAAAATATGGCAGTAATCTTGCATATGGTTTCATGAAGACCAAAGGCTTTACTGTGTATGCCACTATTTTCAGCTTACAGCTATCTGATGCTTACGGTGACAGTTGCTAGGGAGATTAAGGCAAATTCATGCTAGTTTAACATTCCCATAAGCCTGTGTCATTTTGGGCACTACCTAGGTGGATCAGAGTAAAAGAATAGGTTGTATATGAAATGCATTCATCTCAAGGATGAGATATTTGTTTGGCTTTCTTCTGTAAAGTGTAGACTTGCCAATCCTGAGAATCATCACAACCGGCCATCACGGGATAATCGGAATAATCTCAGAGGAAGCTGAATAAAGAGGAATGCAATGGATAATACATGCAAGCTACATCCTTGCCTTATGCTGGACATAAAAATGACATTTCCGGTCAAAATGGACGATAGGCAGGGGCACTGTTCGAAGCTGAGGCAAATTTTTTGCTTCTGCCGGACTTGCTTTTTTTATATGCAGACTATTGGTTCCTCGCCTATCAGGCAGATGCGCTCCGACTTCGAAGAAAACATGCCTTATTAGTCGTCTTTTATGTGATGCTTGTTAGGGAGCAGTGGGTCTCCCACAAGAAAAAATGAGGCCCTGTAACCCACATGAGGCCCTGAAACCCAGATGAGGAAAATAATCAGTTGATTTTACAAATTCGACTGAATAGCAGCAGCAGCAGATGCAAGAGCAATCATATGGTGAAAAGACTAAATATAGAAGGGAAAACAAATAGTTAGCAGTGTTAAAAAAGACTATCAAAGCAGTGACATTGACAAACAGAATCACCATTTGCCAGTGCAAATAGGGAGAAGCACCTATCTCTGCTCTGCTAAAGTACAGCATGTGTATGTGTTTTTTTTTTTTTTAGTTTTTCTAAAATATCATCTGCAATATGAGAAGTGTTACGCCCCTGAGGACACTCCATAATGGCCTGAAACCAGAGTCAACATGGCTAACAAAACAGCCAGCAAGCTGACAGAAATAATTGAAGAAAGAAAATGTGACGCAGCTGCCACACAAAATCAATGATTAACACAGCCAAAAGGGACAGCTGGCGTAATGGAAAGAATCAACAAGTGAAAGAGAATTGCAGCTACCACCATCTACCAAGCTGAGAAAAAGTTGGTGGTGACATACATCAAAACTGAACTCAGCATTTACCAAATTTAAAAAAAAAAAAAATTGCATTAAAAACATTCTGACATAATAGTCAACCATATGACGCGGGTGCTGTGAAGAAATAGCATTTCTGTAACATTCACAGTTTTAAAGACAGAAAGTCAAGGAAGCCCTGGACAGTTAGAAAGTACATTGAAAACACATATTGTTACATTTAACTATGAAGGAGTCTTTTTCTTTATTGTCTTTACCAGCTGTAACTCATGCGGAAAGTTCTAGTTGTTCATCCATTTCTGCACTTTAGTCTTGTTAGAGAACTTGCGTTTTGTGTTCACATCCGTTTTACACTTCTGACTTATTTGTGTGCAGACTCTTGACTTCTGGCCTCTCAGGCAAATGCAGTCCGACTTTGATTGAAGCACCCCTACTTAGTCGCCTTTTGAAATACTTGTTAGTTGGCAGTGAGACTATTCCACATGGGGATATGAAGGCACATTTACAGCTATTCATATTTACACTTAATGTGAAAAGTAAGCAAGTGTTTCTTAAATGAGTTCTTTCATTACGGTACATTAACACATTATGCTCTGTTAACTGAAACTGTAGATCTTACAATTTGTTAGCGCAGGGAAGAAATTAGATGCCAGAACAGTTCTAGTTTTTGATCATCATTATAATGCTGTTAAGCATCGTGGGGAGGAGTAATTTGCGATCCAGTGCAAGCTGGCTGCAACTGGCTATTATCATGCCGTGAAGGCGTAGAGTGTCTTTAATGTTGTCGATCCATGTTTTCCGCGGCCGTCTTCTTGCTCTTGTAGCTGATCTTCTGAGATGTAGTGCTTGTGATGGTATCTGATCTTGCTGCATTCTAAGGAGATGGCTAAACCACTTGATCTGCTGTTTCTTGCTGAATCTAGTACAAAATGTTGTTCCCACAATTTGCCTGATAGTTTCATTATTCACTCTCAGATGGTTAGGTTGGCTACTTTTCTCAGGCATCTCATCTGGCAGATGGTTTTTGTATGTTACAGGTAAAAGACCTACAGAACAGGTTAAAGTGTCTAACTGGCTGCCTCCATTCTGGCTTGACTTGTGTGTTCACTAATGCAATAATTGCATCTTTTTTAAAGATAGCCTCCTAAACTTAGTCCCATTTTGAATTTGCTTTAGTCATCTTTGGTTTTAGGGAAAACATCCTTAATTTGTTGTTAGAACTCAAAACACTTCCAAGATTGTTTAGTTTTGATATTTATCTTGGAAATGGACTTGTATCTGAAAAGGAAAATTACCTTGAGCTTTTGTAATAACCAATGAGTGATCAGTGGCACAGTCAGTGCTATGGTGGTTCTTCATTTTTTTAAAGTCAATTACATCTTTAGCTGAGTAACAAGGCAATAAAACCACAAATTTATATATTATAGTCAGTTTAATTAATATCTGTAATCTTCTGCTTAAAGTCCATGTCTTGTTTCGGTCATCATATCTCTCTACAGCCTTCTGTCTTATGAACTTCCTATAGTTTCTGATACAGATATTTCTTCATGCCAGTTTTTGCATTGTCTTTATATACTTCAGTTTTCCCTGCTCACGTAATACAGTTGTGCTAGTTTTTTTTTTTTTATTCTCCTCAGAACTATAATGAAGCCCAGACCAGGCTGCAGCACGTTTCGATTTGTAGGCATGCTTGTTATGGGACTTATTGCTGCCACTGTTTTCAGTGCATTGGTGCCAGATTTTTCTCAAATGTCAATGACACATCCATTTACTTACCTAATTCTCCGGTGTACTTATGTGGCACTACTTATGCTTGGAAATGGTCTAGGTGGGTAAGTTTATTACTTAACTATATTAGATTTATAATGAAAACTATTAGATTACAAATTTCAGCTGAAATAATTTTTGTAGAAAATTTTATAGTACATGAAATGTGATCAAATATAACCCTCAGTTCTGTGTCACGGTTGACAGCACAGTGCATAGAATATAATGATGTCTTAGCCTTTGAAACAGACTAGTGAACAAGCAAGCACATGTTTTATTCTCTGCACATGCAATGATACTGCTACAGATCATTGACAACAAAGCCATTGTGATAAAAAAAAATCTGTAATGTCCAAAATGGATCAGTGAATGGTGTACTAACATGTGAATGATTCAGAATTTCGCTCTTGATCATTGACAGCAACATATCTGTTGTGATACAAAATCTATTCAGTCCAAAGACAATCAGTGAGTTGTACTTTTATGTGAATGGCTCAGTTACTGAACATTGTTTTGCAGAATGCATGCAGTATAGGGTGACAAATACATGTCAGAATAACAGTGGAGGACTGACCTCAGATGTTTAAAGAAGGACATAAGCCAGCATGCTATCGCACTGTAGGATTATTTTGGGAGGACAATGCTTGTCCGCATGTAGCACAAATTGTGCCGGAAGCATCTGCATGGGGGAGTTCGGAAGTTCTGACACACCCAGCCTACAGTCCCAAATCTGTTGCCATTTGACTTTCAGTTGTTCAGACCATTTTTTTTAAAGGCCTAAAGGGATCTTCCTCCTCTCCCCCCCCCCCCCCCCCCACACACACATGCACATGTGTGCATGCGCATGCTTAACACACACACACATAGCTGTCATGATGGCAATGACCAAATGCTTCAGTAAGATATCAAAATCATTCATGTTTTTTATGACTGTCTCCCCAAACGGTGGGATGTATGTCTGAATGCCTATGGCAACTACTTTTGATGACCCCAGGTGCCTGCCTAATTTCTTGGTGACAATTAATAAGGATGCTTTTTTGCACAACTGATCATACACCTTACATTTGCTAAAGCAATTCCACATTATGCAGACAATAGGATCACTAAAAATTAAAAATTAAAAAAAAACAATAAGAAATTAGGTTGAGCTGGGAGCCCAAATCTGTTAAAAAGATGGAACATGAAGATGTTTTAGACAATGAGAAAGCTGATAGCCTAACAGAACATTGGATGATCTATCAGTCGATTGAGTTAACAGACTCACTTTCAAAGTCTATCCAAAATGAGAATGTTTAACTGTATAAAACAGTATCAGTAATTAAAAAGTTAGCTTTTGGTTTGAATATCTGCATGGCCAAGGAGGAGCAGTATATCAAGACTTGTCAAGGTACATTGAACTGGCAGTTAGTCACTGTACCTGATGGATTTACTCAAAAACTGGGTGTCATTTACCAATAACATAGCTGAAATGAAATGATGATATTCTGAAATGAACAAATGTTTGGGTAGTAGTTGTATTCCCCCAGCAATAGCAGTGAGCATATTTAATCCTAGCTGGCATACTGAGACCAATTAATCACTCACACGTTTATTTAGACTGACTATTGTCATAAATATAAACATGGGCAACCTAGTGATAAATAACTATTTCATGTCTAGACACTGCTTGGTAAAAATCAATATCCATGTGTACATTTCAGCAAATTTTTTTTTTAAAGATATTTATTTTAAGTAAATGATTTCTTGTCTACTGTATTTTTTGTTGTTGTTCCAAAAGATATGTTGTCACAATTCCATTACATATGTTTACAGTTTATTCTGAAACATAAGGATTTGTGTAAATCTTGTTGATTCAAATGAGAGTAGAATGGTTATACATTAAAATCTTATTAACATCCTTCTCAAGAAGGGCAAGGAGTTAATATTACCACAAGTTTGGTATCATCCGAACATTATTATTTTTAGTCTCTGGTTTGCTCAGATTTTTCAAATATGAATTTTGTTGTTGTTATTATTGTTGTTTTTGTGTCCCTTTAAATTCATGTTAATGAGGTTTTACTATAGTTGAAGGGAATTGAATTTTGACAATTTGTTCCAGAATAATAGATTCTATTACATAAAGGGCTTAGATAAAACACTGATTTGAAATATGATCTTCAAAATCTTAATGTCTATATTTTGTTGCTGTTTCTACAGGTGTCTATCTTGTTGCTAATATAGGTGAGCTGCAGTGTGCTAAATGGTACCCATTTGTGGCATCAGTTGGCATTACGCCGTGGCTGCTGGACAAGCATCCGAATCTACTTACAGCCTGTTTCTTCACCGCCTTAATCACATGGTACAAAGGTTTACGGTGGAAGCCTTTGCCGGTGGAAATGGAGGGAACATATACAAATAAAAAATTCTGGAAAAATGTAGCCATCTATTGTGTCGCCTGCACTGTGTGGTTGTCAGTATTGTTCGCAGGGTTGTATTTCAATGCAACAATAACAGTAGAAGGTGGAGAGAAAATCCCTGTACGGGAGGCTCTCGGCAACTTCTTTCGCTCGGATGCTTGGAAGAGAACAAAAGAATCCTTGTGGCATCTGTTGACTATCTTGTGGCGTGAAGGCGTGTGGCATGCTTGGAGTGACACTAGAAGAGTCTTTGACTTCTCTGGAGAAATCAGTGCTTTTAAGGTCAGAGTTTTCACAGTTTTAATTGTCCAAATTAAAGTATATTAATACTGCAGTTTCTCTTAACTCTTGTATTGATTAGAAAATGTAATTGCTTATTGCACTAATAATTAGGGAGAGACATGTTTAATGTAACCTCTCTCTCTCTCTCTCTCTTTCTCTCTCTCTCTTTCTCTTTATCTCTCTCTCTCCCTCTCTTTCTCTCTCTCTCTTTTTCTCTTTCTCTTTCTCTCTCTCCCTCTCTTTCTCTCTCTCTCTTTTTCTCTTTCTCTTTCTCTATCTCTCTCTCTCTCCCCTCTCTCTGTCTCTCTCACTCACTCATTTACGTGTGGACAGTATGTGTTCAAGAATTCATTTTTCTTGACACTGGTGACATGCAGCATCTTCAGACTGGCATTATTAGGCCAAGGCAACAGTAGATGGCAGGACGTCTTAGACAAATCTGATATGGAAACTCAACTGGTATGTGCCATAGAGTGTTCTTTGTAATACCTTAGAACTAAAACACTACAGTGGAACTCAAGTATGTAATTAATTCATTCCTGAGGGAAGGAGGAGCATCAAATGAGTTTTTCCTATAAGAATGAACTGAAAATGGTTTAATCCATATCCAGCCGTAAATTTTGCCTATCTATTAACAAAAACAAAACATCTATCAAAAATGATCTCGAAAATCATTGCAAATACATTTTAAATACATATTAACTACTAAACTTTTTACTGTTTATAATTATGACAGAGATTTACTCATCCTGTAATAAGTCTTTAAAAAAAAAAAAAACTTTTGAATGGAAAAAAAACAAATAATGGCTACTGTTTGAAAGTGGAGTCAGCTTTTGTTATGACATCAGGTTATTTCACATCTGGTAATTGATGTCCTGATAATTCATCAGCATCATCATCCTCATGTGCCTTGCCAACTGTCTAGCATCTCCACAGATCAAGATCCCTGGTTGCCTGGAATAGCTCTCTTGATGATATCCCTCCATGCCATCGTTTCAGCCCATCCATCAACACCTCTCAGGATCTGCCTCTACCTCTCTTTCCACTGATCTTTCCAGTTTTCACAATGCTTTCCCAATCATCATCACTCGTTTTCATTAAAAAAAAAACAATTTTAAATGAAGTTATCCACTTTGTTCCATTTATTTTAAATATTCAAAAAGTACAGACACATTGTCATCAAATGAATTCATACGCTGATTAACTGTAGCGATGTGTGAGTACCATTGCTGGAGGAAAACCTGTATTTTTACCCAGGTGCACAGCCATTACTGAGAATAAACAGAAGAAACAGACTAAACACTAAAGTTGACAACAGTGGTCCTGAAATCCCATGCTATAATTGTGGAAGACTTTTTTTAACGTGGGAGGTATTGCTAGTCACACTCGCCATCGCCATAGGCTGTAAATCCCATGCCTCCTCATAATGCAATATAGAACTATTTTCTGGTAGGACGGGAAGATGTCAATCAATCACAGCCATTACCGAATTTCAGCACCTGGAATGGGCCTATCATCTTGGTTTTTTCCTCTACTTACGACTCGCCAGCCACGTCAGAAGCAGCACAAATATTGACTTTTTGGGTGAAAAACAAACAAAAATTTCAACAAAAAACGGGACGAATTTAAAAAAAGATGTATATTAGAGTTCCACTATATATTGATTTTAAAAATAGTGGATTAAAAACTTAACCTAAAATTTGGATCCTATCATGCAGGTTATTTTTTTAGGAGGGGGAATTTGGGCAGTAGCTGATGGCAACTAGTGTGTTGTTTAGGACTGAAATAGTCCGCGGGTTTATTTTTTATTTTGATTCCAACAGGTGCTTCGTTTGCCTACTGGTGCCACCCAAGAGGAGATTTTAAAACAGTGTCGTAAGTTATCTGCTGAACATCATCCCGATCGTTTCAAGACACCGGAGGAAAAGGAACTTGCTCAGGAGAAGTTCATAGAGATCCAGAAAGCCTGCACTTCACTGTCCTCAAGACAAGCAAAGAGAGCAAGATCCAACACAAAGTCAACAGACAATTCTGACTTGTAAGACTCTTTGTACCTAGTTTTTATTTGTTCCCTAATATATACTGAAAGTGTGCTTGTTTACATTTTGTTTTTTAATGTTACTTTATTTGTTGTAATTGTTCATTGCATTGAGTGGGAGATTTGTATGAGGCAGAATCAGGCAATTTTCAAATGTAATAAATTATTTTGTTTAAAATAATATTTACTGCTGTAAAACATATATTTTTTTTATCAGATATTGCTTTTTGTTTTGTTTTATAATGTGTACAGTTATGACAGATTTCTCTTAATGAAAACTGTATGCATAACGCATATGTAACTGACAATTTTAAAAAGTAACAAATATTTCTTTTTTTTACAATATTACTGCAGAGAACACTTTTATTTAAAGAAAGCTTTTTTTTTTATTTTAAAGGCAGTTACAGCAGATTTCTTTTAAGAAAAGAGTTTTTTTTAATCTGTGTGTTTTTTTTTAAAAAGCTATTAACACTCATCATCGACTTCATGCAGAAAGTCCTTTTGCAGATCACAGCCTGCCTGAAATAAATTCATGCCTTTTACACTTTCCTACCCAAGGAGTTCATATATACTGTGCTCATCTTTGTCCTGGTAGGTCCCCGCCTCTTTTCCTGGCACCATGCCTTCTGTTACTCTTCTTTCCAGTCCACCCTGGAACTTGATATGACCAAAATTTATAAGTTTCTGAGAGAAGATGCTGTTTACAGAATTAACACTACATCACTGAAATGACATTTGGCAAAAGTGGGATTTTTTTTTTTTTCAATGACCTGAGCTTCCAAGTTGACCCAGTCTGTAATTTTATTGGCACTTTTCTATCTTCTCAAACAAGCATTTTATACTGTGTTAGCCTTAGTTGAGGTTTCAACTTTACTGCATTTGGGTCATCCCATACTTGCTCCATTCCTATGCCAGAGAAAATCACATGAAATGTTCCTCACTGTTGCATGTGAAAAACTAGTGAATAAACAATTGTTCCGTTACAGTCCAGAAATATGTGCACGCAGTCAGTGCATATGGCAGTTGCTGGGGGCCCCAGAGTCATTGGTCGCCACCAGAAATGCAGTTTATCGTTGATGGAAGTACTTGGTCTCTGTAAGTTGGCTATACACACGTAAAATCATTACATAAAGCTCACACATCAACCGGCTACCGGCCATATTGAATACCATGACACAACCACTGAACAAATGAAAGGCATTCCACATGAAAAGCACAGCTCACAGGGCTGCACCAAGCACTAAACTCAGTAACTTAGGCAGCGAAACTTTAGACTTCCCTCCATATTTGGAAACTGCATTAGCAAAGCGCTGTTGGAAGCAAAACATTCTGCCATGTCTTCTCCTCTATTTGGACCGCAAGTGTTATACTGTGCTGTGAGGAGGCATGGGTTACACAGCTCATGGCGATTGTGACTAGCAAGACCCACCTGCTTGTTACATAGCCCAAAGTCTGGGTAGTTTTGTAGAGACTATATGTTGCCCATGCATCATGATCTCTCTCGTAGCTTGCTTTGTTTATCCTATAGGAAAGGTGACACCAATGAAAGGTAACATGAATTAGAGTTAGAAAAAAGCATGCTGGAGAAGCTGTCAGATCAGTATTTAAGGAATAAGATTTTTAAGTGAACTCATTCCAAGCTTTTAACTGCAACTGCTGTTGGAGTTAAAATTACTAACCCTGATAGAGTCATGTATGATTATGTTTCATCACTATCTCCTCTGTTCATGGGTTCAAATCTGAAGAGAGCCGCACTTTTTGGGAGCCGCCATGGTTTAGCGGCTAGCCACTTGCCTGTGTATCCAAATGTCATGGGTTTAGGTCTTGACGGAGCTGACATTTTTTTTTCTCTTAAAAATGGCTTCGGCTCTAAGGTTGGCCCAGCCTTAAATGGGTACCGGGTAAAGTCCTGGGAAGTAAAAGCGGGTGATGTTGACAACATCACTTACCGAGTAAAATTTAGGTCTAGTCCCAAATGCCCATTATGCCTGAAGGCGGGGGAAAGGGTTTTTTACTTTTTGCTTTACTGTCTACCCTGTGCTACCAGTAGGTAAGGTGCACGACTACTGCCTTACAGAAATTATGTGAGAATGACAGACTGTTGGTCATGCTCAGTATGCCTTACTGTGTGAAAATGCGTATATTATTTGCTGTACAATAGGGTACAAGCGAGGCAGATGTTACATAACACAGAATGGCTGCCATAATCTAAAAGGGTCAATTTGACTTCTGTTTGTTTTTTTATCTGGTTCATTTGAGCTCCATGAATACTGTTTGTGAATGGTAATGTTTGCACCTGAAAACAATATAATTAGAAGGGCTTTACAGTCTACACACAGGGGCTTAGAAATAAAGTCAGATCAAAAACATGGGGACAGGAACTAGAGGCTGAAGTTCGAAAGATAGGCAGGACATGGAGGGAGCTGCCTGTGATAAGAAAAGACAGGAGAGGATGGCTTAGCGTGAGTGGGTTGAGCACCTATACTCCATTGGGGGGAAAAGGACAGAAGAAGAAGAAGAATGACTACACCGCTGGCAATGTACCTGGCTGAGTGGCTTTATTACTTTTGTGACATAAAAGTAATCCTGGAAGGATATTTCTTCACCAGAAAGAATACCCTTGTAGTGAACAAGGTAGAAGAATTGATACAGATCAACAACTTGTGAAGCAAAACTATGCGATGCCTGAAAGAATTCTTAGCATTAGGTGGCAAGATAACATCACCTGTGGCATGTGACACTTGGAGGATGGAGGATAGTAGTCTCTAAGGATGTCTTCTATGGTGAATTACAGATGAGTAGAAGATGTTAGTCTACCTCTGCTATGATATAAAGATATGTGGAGGCTTGATGTGAATGAGACTGATATTTAAGTGGCTTCATTGTTACAAGCTAGCTTGGTTTGGGCACATGGTGAGACATGATTCGATTGCAAAGACTGTGCTTCAGGTAACATTGGGGGGTAGTCGAAGAAGAGGAGGGCAAAGAAGAACCTGGAATGGCAACATCAAGAAATGGACAGGACTGAGTTATCATACTTATTCTTTAAGCAGAAGACAGAGAAAGATGGCGGGTTTTAAGTGCCAATACTGCCATCAATACACCTCCACAACCCTAACAGGTCAAGGGCTATTCTTCTTCTTCTTCTTTCGTTCGCCTGAAATAAGTTGTCTTTATCAGCAGTTTTGTCTCTTGTATAAATTTCACTGTCGTTGTTAGTTCATTCAGTGGTCCATAGAGTTTACGTTCCACTGTTGTTCTTTCTGGCCAAAAGGTTTGCCTTAATGTGTCAAAATCAGTGCAGTCCTGGAGTACATGCTCTGCTGTCTGGGACACATTTCCACAGGTGCACATGGCTGATACACCTATCGTGAATTTTGTGTACATGTGGTTACATAATCGGTTGTGCCCTGTTCTTAGGCGGAGGATAATGACTTGTTCTGGTCTGTCCATAATAAAATAGTCGTCTTGTGCTGGGGCTGGTGGTTTCCTGATCAATTTAATGATTCTTTTCTTTTGGTGGTATGTGACTGGGTCATCCGGCTGCTCTTTTGTCGCACCTTTCCCTGCAGTTGATCAGCTCTCTCATTTCCAGGCACTCCACAATGAGACGGTATCCACTGCATTACGACTCTTCGCTGAAGGCTGAGTTGTGTCAGCAGTGTTTGCAATTCTGGTAGTTTCCTAGACTGGAGTGCTTCAAGTACTGATTTAGCATCTGTCAGCATTACCACATACTGTGAGCCAAGGTTGGTATTTAGCAGTTTCTCTGTGGCTCTCTTGATAGCCTGGGTTTCTGCATCATAGTTATGGCAGTACTTCCCGGTTGGTACGCTGGACTTATCCCTAGTACCATCTGGGAATTCGATGTACACTCCGGCACCACCATTTCTAACTGCACTTTCAAGGGCTATGTTATGTTATGTAATGGTAACAGAATGTCATGGACAGTGTTGCACGGAGAGAGGAAATCTGGAAAGAAATAGGAATAAAGAAGAAAATAATTCCAGGTAGATTAAGAGCTGGGTGTCTGAAAAGAAGCACTTTAAATATATGTGATGGCAACAATAGTCCTTCAATTCAATGCTCAAATTGTGGAAGACTTTTGTTACCATGAACAGGCTTTGTCAGTCACACTCGCCATTGCCGTGCCCTGTAACTCTCATGCTTGTCTGTAGCACAGGATAGCACTATCATCTGAACAGACAGAAAGGTGCCAACAAAAGAAGCAAAACAGCAGTTTGGCACGCATGATTGTTCAGGACATAGAGACTATGGCTTGTCACAGTGAAAGGGATTGAAGTCTCACCTGGTGTATATTGCAGTAACAAAGTAAAATAACAAGTCACATAATTTGTTACCCCTTGGAGAACAGCCTTTTTTTTACATATAAACAAAGACATGACAACTGTTGAATAAGGGAGAGAATAATGATGAACATTCAGACAGCAGTATCCTCTTCTTGACATTCCGAGGCTGTAAACAACAGTGGTTGGCTGTAGCCTCCACAACTGTGAATAATAGACTGTTGCCCTTCAGTACTTGATTGTTGTATCTAATCATGGATATAATTTCCATAATTTTTGGATTATTTCAAGTTCGAGACTTGTTCTAATATTTTACAGAAAGTTTCTGCTACTGTGCTGTCATCTCCTTTACAGAACTGTGGCTTTCGGTACTGTACTGTTACTTTCAGGGTCGTACTGTCACTTTCAGTAGACTGTTCCCATTTCCAACTGTGGACTTTCTTTGCCGCTTCTAGATTATTGACACTTAGACTGATCTGTCAGTCACTCAGTTTGTCCCATGCAAATTGCTTCCTGGAAGTTTACAGCCCTGAGATTTTTTTTTTAAATCTCAATCTGGACAGCAGTCTGAACGGTAGACCAACAAGGCAGACCCCAGATACCCCCCCCCCCCCCTCCCCCTTTAACCTCCAGCGAGGTTATAATTAGAGCACCCATAACAGTTACATCAGCAGCTAAGTTTAACCTGCAGTCCTGT